CCTCATCCGAAAATTTCCCAAATGCGGACAAGGTGCGGTACCTCGGAGATAACACCGACAAACGCTTGATGTGGGATCATCACAGCCGAATGAAACGTCAAGAAGTTATGACGAGATACCTTCTTAACGAATACTTGGAATTGGACGTACAAAAAACAAATATTACCTTTTGTTCTTTATAAAAAAGTATTTCTACTTTGCTAAGTTGCAATAACAACGTCCAAATTTTTGCTTTTTGCTCAACGAAACCCAGCCAACTGTGTAGTTTCTTGAATTTAAAAATATTTCAATACCAGGTTTTTAAATGACAAAAACAATGAGAACTATGGTATGAATTCGACCACAGCTATATTCCACGAGAATCAGAACGGCACCCCATATTATTTCGTATTTATAGACTGTTCAAATAAAATCATAAACTACGACATTCTAAACAGGTAGAACTAGTGTACAAGATATGTAACTTTTCAGGACCACCACGAGGCAATTTCATCACTAAAATTATACATCATACATTTATGGTCAAAATTTAAATAATCATTTGCATTTTTGAGAGACGCTCTCCCTAAATTTTTGAAAGACATTTCTCTTGCTATGCGTTGCGCTATGTAGTTCACACTCAAACATTACAATTTAGTTAAGTATTTATAGCAGAAAAGATCTGTGTTTCTTGGCTAGCATTCAACCTGATTTAATCCTGTTCAATATTGTTTTATAAGAGATATATCAATGCTGTTTGAAAAGTCGATTTCAATAGAGCTAACTTTTTTAAGTTTACTCTTTATAGCTATAACTATTATTGACATTTCATTATTTATTTAAAATAATGGGGAAATCAGCTTAGTTATTTGATGGTTCCAATTTGAGAAAGAGCACCGAACGAAATTTATCACGATTTATAAATATAAAATCGTCCATATAACAACTGTACATTCTGGTTATGATTCGCGTATTGTTTTAGGTTAACGGAAATTTGCAACACAAATAGTCGGCAAAAGTTACTAGACAGAATCCAGGAAGCATTTCTTGGAATTGGAAAAAAGATCATTGGAATAGATTAAAAGAGCAGCGATCTGTCTATGAAAGTGGAAGGCAGTTGGAAGCGCTTCTTTACTATTCTAATTGACCAATTTAGGGTGTTTACCGTTTTTTTTAAATTTTCTGATATTTTGTATATGACGGTAAAAATTATGTAAATGACTTGCGTGGTTTCGACAAAAAAAGGTTATAAAAAATATTCTTTAAGATTATGCAGTTGGATGTTAATAAACATGTAGGTTAAATTAATTTAAATCAATATCCAATACAGTTCGTGTTCAGATGGACTTTTTTCAATTGAATTATCTTTATGAAAGGTCTTGGTTGAGATAAAAAGTCAGTGTGACGAGCCGGATTCGAACCCACGATCTTCGGCTAAAAACGCCGCTGCTCTACCACTCGAGCTATCGTGACATCGATCCACTCGGACACTAACTTCCCACTTAACCTCGTGGGTTCGAATCCCACTCGTGACACTGACTTTTTATCTCAGCCAATACCTTTCATAAATATTAATTAATTTAAAAAAGTTAAATCATTATGTCGAAGTACTGCTATTATTAGACTTTTAAGAAAAAATCATTTACCTTTTTTTATATATAGTTTTAGATAGATATAGTTTATATTAGGAACAAGGTTGTCTCGTTAATTTCCAGTGTTCCTTATCATCGCTAACAGTTCTGCTCAAAATTATTACTAAACCATGCAAATAATTTATAAATAATAAATTCAAAACCTTTTCAGGAAGTCGAGTAAAGTATATAGTTTCGACGTTGAAGAGATAATTATGTAACGCCTGGCTAATCCGGGCACAAATCTTTCGCGAGGCCGCCTCGTGCTGGCTGGCAGTCGGGCATCATGTCAACAATTGCCGTGCAACAGGTGATCGCCGTCCCCTCGGGGGATCAAAGAATTTTCAACGACATTCTAAAGAGTAAAGTGGGACAAACATGTTTACACGGCCGAGACCTGAAACCAGATCGATGGATTTTTTCTTCTTCGAATTGGGAGAACCGATAGTATTTGTCTCATGATGTTGACGAAGCAAAAAACTTTGATCGTTTTTAGTAGAAGGTATTTGTAAAAGTTTTGAAAAACACTATTGTTTTTCATAGTTAACATGACAGCACGATAGACAATCGTTGTTCTTTTTCAGAAATATTTACCAAATTCAAGACTTTTATCGATCCCTACCAATCATTACAATAACTTTTGATTTCCATTGTTGAAATATATTGTAATTATGTCTTTTAAATTATATGTAATATAAATATATAAAAAAATAATAATTATAAGTATAAACAAAATCTGAACAAAATAGAACCGAATGTGTGGTGATTAGTGACCGTCAATCGATAATTATTCAGAAATCGTGAGATGCGGTCTGGTGTGATGTAGGTTTCAGAAAAACATTTTCTTTATCGTGCCGACGTTTCGATCTTTATTGAGAACAACTTCAGGGCCTGGGATTTACAAACATTGTTTAATTTACACAGAAGAAAAACACTTTGAGTGAGTAGAAATACTTTGATTGAATATTAAAAAAATATATATATTTTGCATTGTATAAATTCACTTTTCCACATCCTAAAGGTATTTGTTAAATGTAAACAATGTTTGTAAATCCCAGGCCCTGAAGAGTTGAACATTGAGTCTCTACATTTCTCTGAGTTGTTTGTAACAAACATGGGGTTCTGCACAAAATTTATATTAGATTATATACGATCATTAACTGTCGAACCAATACTAAATTAATAAACACTAAAAATGTATAAATTGTTGTAACCCATTTTAAATTGTTTCTTTGTGTTTTTTTATTGTATTGTATGTATGCTTAGTTATAACCTTTATAATTTTTTTTAATGTATACAATAAAAACAAAAAGTATAAGTACAAATATGCATCTGTAATTGGAAAATCGTGAAATAAATAAATATTGGTTATAATTTTAGTTTTAAAACGTAAGTATTTACAAAAGTTAAGGGCCTTTGTGTTACTGATTTATTTTCTTAATTATGAACTTATATCTGACTCACATTTTGATACTTCTTTTGGGGAAACTTAATAAAATACGTATCAGAACCGGCTTTACAGAAAGTATCTCTGTTTCATTTAAGCAAATGGGGAAGGTACGTTTCGCAAGTACATTTTCTTCTATTGATATTTGTCGGGTCGGTGTCCAGTCAGCAATCCTCAAATTTTCCTCTACAAGAAAGAAGCTTTGTTTTTGTAGGGTGAGCAAAATTCTACGTCTCAGCGCGGATTGCACCTTTTTTGCTTGTGTTAGCTCTAGTAATTTTCCTTAGTTTATGAACTGTTTCCTCATTCCTGTGAGAATTGTTTTTTAATTAAGCAACTTTGGTTTTGACCAATACTTTAGGTAAATGTTTGCTATTGTATATAATAGTTGCATATTTTATAATCATTTATCACATAACATTTAAGCCTGATATGTAGCATGCTAATGAAAAATGAGAAATTGTGTAAAACATGGGGGGTTTCATTTATTAAAGTCATCACCATTGCTTTAATATCTCTGTTGTTTTTTTGTTTTTTTTAAGAGTGTTTGCAACAGCAGAGGTCAAATAAACCTCAGGTCTCAGGGTGCCAGTGTTTTAAAAAAAGCCCATTTGTAAGTATGTCGGGTTCGAATGCAGGGCCGCTGGATTCGAACCCGGGACCCTTACCTTACAGTGATGGTCTGTGTCAACGCCTAAACCGTTGCGGCCACCGACGCCCCAATATCTCCGTTGAAAGTGTTAAATGTATCAACCACCATTGCTTCCGAACTACCGCAGGGAAACCTTGTATTTATGCGGGAAGTCGGATAAAATGTCCTCAAAATGAAAATTTCCACTCACATTTTGAATTTCATAGTTTTCTGAACACATTTGGTTTCGAATCTCACTGTCTGTAGTTAATTCCTTGTAAACGGAAAAACTCCTAAACCAGATTAATTTTCAATTTCATCACAACCGGATCAATGGTTTTGCTTGCGAATACAAACGCAAAATACACACTTAAATCGCCAAAACCCTTATACGGATTTTGATGAAATTTTCACAGCTTATGCGAATTGGTTTCCAAATAGTGCCGTACGAATTTTATCGTAATCGTATCAACATGCCTGCACATGCTTATGTATAATTGCATACACAGCTATCTCTGAAACCATTTGTCGGATTTTTATGCCATTTTTAGGGATTATGCGGGTTCTTTCGAGATAATCATTTAACAATTTTATTCAAAACGGATTAACATGCACGAAATGTGGGAAAACTGGGCCCACCTACTTGGCAGACAATTTTTATCACGCATAATTTAACCTAATAATAATTTATTGTGTTTAGTGGTCAATTGACCAAGTTACTTATTTCAATTAATTATTCTATGTATGTGGACTTGGTTGAAATGAAAAAGTTAGTGTCACGAACAGAATTCGAACCCACGACATTTCGGCTCATACGCCGCTGCTCTAACCACTTGAGCTATAGTGACTTCGATCCACTCGGACACCAACTCCCCATCTCAACCTACAACCTTTCTAATTCTCCCTTCTTTTTACCAATTTTAAATTCTCATAATTCATTCTACTAATAATAATGCATCTGTAGAGACGTTTTAAAATTATCAGGAATAATCTGGATCTCGGTATGGACTGGATGAAAAACAGATTCAATTGTTACTACAAAGTTTTTGATCTATTTTAAGGTCATCATCTGAGCAAAATAACCTTAAGGATTACTACAAATTGACATAATTAAATTTTCATAGATTTTCAACTTTTTTTAATACCCTCTTAATCTTAATATTTCCATGTAATATCTATCAAAAATTTATGCCAATTTGTAGACACCTTTAAGATTGTTTTCTGTTCTGATGATATCTGACCAAAATATAATCATGAGACCAATCGAGTGATATTTTACTTACTGTTTTATTTTTTTGTGTTTCAGGTGTCGGTGACCGATGTTGTCGTGGTGGTTGGGGGCGGGGGCGCTCTGCTGGGTGGTGGTCGCGGCCCAGCGGCCCACTGGCCTCAACAAAAGACACGACCTCTACATCGCCGGCTTTTTCCCTTACGGCCGACACGTACCGGAATCGCACATCGGACGCGGCGTGATGCCTGCCGTGAAACTCGCCTTGGACCATATCAACGACAGCCCCACCGTCCTGCGTAACTACAGGCTCCATATGTGGTGGAACGACACTGAGGTGAGTGGAAAATCTTAAGCATTTACGGGGAGACGAGGATGGATCGTGTGAATATTTTCAAAACGTTATATTTGAGCAGTAATATCAAAGAATGTTTCTCCGTTAATAGAAAACGAATCAACATCCAAAATACAAGGACCAACATATAAATAAACCACATCAAGAAATAACCAAACCTATGTAAATTTAAGTACTTATTGGGGGTTTATGAGGTGATTAATGTGAAATTTAAGAAGTTGAGATTATTTTGGCCTAGCAGTGAGGATTGTCTGCCCGCCACGTTTTGGCTTCTCGTCATATTCAATGCTGATACTGTGTTATTAAACATGGTTAAGCAAAAACTACATAGAGTAAGCACTGAAGATAGCGAAAACCTTGGTTATACAACCACATCGAGGATAGAAAGAACAATGTCTCAGAAACGACTAAACCATAATGTAATTCCTGTCATACTGAAACAGAAGAGCATAAAGTCCAACAACGACAAATACAATAATCCTATCATCGTTTGATTTTTATATCCTTGTTGCCCAATTAAAAACTGACTTTTTGAGTTTGGTGTCACAGGCAAGATCTGGAAACTTTGGATTCTGAAACTTACCTTTTGTCCTATATTTGTCGAATACTATTGCGGAAATTGTTGTTGACTTTATGTCATTCAGTTGCCTTGTTTTCCATTCAGAATTCTCTTCCAACTTTATATTATCAATTATGCTAATATCTCCGTAACTAACATACTAGTTAGAACATGGCAACATCACGATAATTACGTTTGTACTCACAAAAAAATAATACAGCATCGGCGAACTCAATAGCGGAGCAACAGGAGGCATCGGAATATATTAAAATCTAAAAAAAACAGTACACTATAAAGGTGTTAACATAAATACTGCACGCAGCAAATGTATTGTTAATCAATCTGGATTCTATTAAAAGAACAACGAACGTCAAAAAATTGCACGAGCTAAAAAAAATCTTAAATTCAAGGAGTAAATGGGAACAAGAAAAGATAGTAAAACACCCAAAACAACAATTTTTACACCGTAAGTCTAGGGGATATGATCACGTGGGTTATTAATCCTAAACTTTTGGCTTTCTATTCTTGTTCTGTTTTCAATTAATAATTTAATTTTAATTTCTTTAATTAATTGATTAGCTACTACTACTATCTGCTACTACTAGCAATTAATTGATTAGCCAGGTAGTTGATTGGTTAATTAGCGTAAAATCCTAGTAAGCAAACGGCGCTTAAAACATACACTTCTGAATCACCGCCAAGCATTGCGGGTTTAGTATTCACGGTTAGTGAAAGTGTCAAAGGAAAAAGATAATTTGGAAAGACGTATAAAAATGGAGAAGAAATGAGATAGTAAGGATAGGGTAAACAAGTAATTAAATTATCTATGTGTGTGAGGGAGTGAGGGAGAAAGAGAGAATAAAAAAATATATAGATAGACAGTTAGAAATAAAGATAGAAATAGAAAACTAGAGCGATGGTAGGAGGGTGAGAGAAAGAGCGATAGAAGGATAAAATAAAAGCGAGAAAACTGAAGGAAGAAAAATAAACAGAAAGGGAGAGAATGAGAAAGCTAATATGAGAAATAGAGTGTAAGAAATCGGATAAATCTGTGAAGGAGAGAATATACAATTTAATAATGGATAAGTGAGAGTATGTGAGAAGGAAATTGAGATACAGATAGATATACTCAAAAAAAGATATGGAAACGAAAGAGAGGGAGAAAGTGAATGAAAAATTGACGGAAATCCTTTTTAAAAAGGTAGTTCCTACTCACAGTAAGTTGTTTTGCAACGATCCGGATTGCGAGCCCTTTAGCTCATCATCAGGTTGAAGGACTCCTACAACCTAATGATGGACTAAAGGGCTCGAAATCCGGATCGTTGCAAAACAACTTACTGTGAGTAGGAACTATCTATTTAAAAAGGATTGAACACCACATTCACTCTATCATTTATCATTTCTAAGAAAGGGAAAAGTAGAGAGAAAGAAAGAGAGAATAACGTATAAGAGTGTGGGAAGAAGAGAAAGAGGGAAAGATGCTGAGTGAGAGAGAAAAAAAAGAGAAAGAAAAATGACAATAAATATGTTATCAAGCTGGATTTTAGGTGGGGTCACATATAAGGGTCAGGTCAATTTATCTTCAGTGACAGAGTTTGTACTAACCAAATTAAAATACGTTGTTACATGAAACCTTAAGGTTTAATTTTATAAAATGAATAAATCTGATAAACTGTACAATCTTCTTTGATATTATTATACCTTTATTTGGGTTTATCTTCAGAATGTTTGTTATGCTGAAAAAAATGATTTCTTTTATATCGTCGTGCATCTGTGCAGCAAATTGTTATCGTCAAGTTTTTGTTCAAATGCCTTCGCTACGGGCCAGAACAAAACAACCTACTTGTCATAAGGATTTTCGACATAGTTCATCTCGATTTCACTTTGTATATTTTGTATTGGGTTGTCCGGAAAATAATGCAGGATTTTAAGTTTTCATTAAAAAAAATCTATATAAAATATTCTGTTTACGTTTACAGGATTACTCATTTGTATGAATGTCAACACTTATTAATCCTCTTCCAAATGATATTGTTTGTTTACCTCTGTAGCATTCCGCTACTCGGAAATAATTCAGTCATCCTTATAATGTCAAAGCGAGAATTTCGTACGATTTTCTTTTACGAGTTTAAACTCGGCCGAAGCGGAGCCCAAACGGCTAGAAACATTAACCAAGTCTGGGGCGAGGGTTGTGTTAATGAGTGCACTGTGCAAAGGTGGTTTAAAAAATTTCGGGAGGGAGATTTCAGCCTTGAAGATGAAGAAGGTCGTGGAAGGCCTTCCTCTCTTAATGATGATGTTCTGCGATCAGTGGTGGAAGAAAACCCCAAAACAACTGTTCGAGAACTTGCAGAGCAACTCAAAGTCAGTAAAACGACCGTCGCTGACCACCTCAAGGCGATTGGAAAAGTGAAAAAACTCGAAAATTGGGTTCCACACTCATTAAACGATCGCCAAAAAAATCAGCGCTTTGATGTTTGTGCATCACTTCTTTGTCGAAACAAAAATGACCCATTTCTGGCCAGAATTGTTACATGTGACGAAAAGTGGATTCTCTACGATAACACTAGACGTTCTGGACAGTGGCTCGACAAAGGAGAAGCTCCAATACATTTTCCAAAGCCCCCAACTCACCAAAAAAAGGTAATGGTTACGGTATGGTGGGCTTCATTTGGTTTAATACACTACAGCTTCTTAAATCCTGGCGAAACCATCAATGCTGAATCATACTGTAACCAAATTAATACCATGCATCAGAAATTGGCAGTAATGAAGCCCTCTTTGGTCAATCGGAAAGGGCCCATTTTGTTGCATGACAACGCTCGACCACATGTGTCACGTGTAACGTCACAAAAATTATTGGAGCTTGGCTATGAAACTTTGCCTCACCCACCCTACTCTCCGGACCTCTCGCCTACTGACTACCATTTTTTTAGACACCTGGACCACTACTTACAACACATAATATTCAAAAATCAAACGGAACTGGAAAATGCATTTATTGACTTTATCCATTCTAAAAATTCTGAATTCTACTCAGACGGAATTAATAAGTTACCAACACGTTGGGAGAAATGTATTGAGAGTATGGGAAATTATTTTGATTAAAGAACATTGCTTTAAAGTAACTAGTTTCTTTTTTTTTGTTTAATACCAAAATCCTGCATTATTTTCCGGACAACCTAATAGTATTTAGTAACGTTAATTAATGATTATGTAGAGATCGTGAGATGGGGTCTGGTATGATGTTAGTTTAGAAAAATGTTATCTTTATCGTGCCATTTTTTTTGACTGACTCGAATGATTTTTAATGAGATTATCTTCAGGGCTTGTGAGTTATAAAGTTTGAACTTTCCAATGGAAAAAAGCTGAATTAATTTTTGTAGACTGTCCGACATCATAGTTTGCGTTTTTGATATGCAATAGATGCGGGGTCAACCTAGGTTAGTTGACGCTACAGACCGCACATTCCACTATAATTACAGCAAACGAGATTATTATTAATATGCAATCCCATTAGGTTTAAATCAATCCTCCTTAGAGCGCATTACGGAGGTATATTGCAGCGAATATGCAGGTGATACAAGCAATACCGGTAAACATCTGTGCCTACTCGGTTAACCTGCTGAATAAACCATAAGATTCAAAATTTTAAATAATCTTAAACTGATAATTATATAAGCTAAAATATTTACAAACCATTCTGTTAATCCAGTTCCTATTGACATATACTTTACGTAAATAAAAATTTAGACGAAGTTGTTTTTGTTAATGTTGGACCAAGAAGAGCAAAATTACATAAAATTGCCAGTAACAAAAGTAAGAATATTCAATTTTATTTCCTTGTTAATTATTCGTTTTTTCCTGTGTATAATTTTTTAATCGATTTGTGATAGGAAGCTGCTGAACTTTAGCAATAATTTTTTTTATAGAAGGAATTCATTTTTATTTTTTTTTAAATTCTCAAAAATACATCATGCTGTAATTCAATCGCATTTTTAAATAATTTGCTGAGGTTGAACATGTGCGTTTTCCAAAATGTTACGTTAAAAACAACTAGACTTTTTCTACAGTTTCACTTAGGTATAGACTATAGTACATAGACTACTACAGAAAAAATATTCAACGTTGAGAAAAATCATGGATTGTGTTGTTTTACTACGTACATATGTAGAAATAATTAATAGTCATTTTTATAATAATAAAAAAATTAATGTTTCGTTACACGTCTTTCTTCTGTAATTTTGTTTATTCGTTCAGACGCTTCCGACACTTCGGGACATCATGGACCATCCCGCTGGCCGTCACCGACACCAATTTCCCAACGGTTAAGTCTACCTTCAGAATATCATCCATCCATCTTGCACTTTGTCGGCTCCTCTATCTTTTGCCTTCCATTTTCTGTAGCATCAACTTTTTCTCC